GTTGAATTCAGTCCGGGATCAAGAGGACGAACACACATTCGAGACACGAAAGTAAACTGTCCTGAGTAAGTAAGTCCGGTTAGCACTGTTGGCTACGTACGGTGTTTGGGCAGGACACTTCTTGAGAAAGGGAGGATGGCTGGTTGACGAGACTGGTGAGAGAATTACGTCTTATAAAAAAGATGAAAGAATAAATGAACTCATGTGCCGGAGCAGGATGGATCATGGCACCTCGTGCCCATATGAGATGGAGTTATTAATCCAGCAACATGTGTATTCTGGCTAAATATGATGAATAACATCGCAAGTTCACCAAGTATAATCATTTTTGGAGGGACACGACGTGAAAATAACGGTGTGTATCGACCTCGGCTAATCGTTGAAGGTGGATAAAGATCATGACGATCAAATGACAAGACGGGCGAGAGCAGAATGGAGAGCTTTATGCAAACTGAATTTCATTATAAAAGGCCACATACAGCACCAATGTGCTTCAAGAAGAATGTTTTCGTTCAGTGCACATTACTTGCTATGACATCTTGATCATATGGACTGTCACGTGCATAGAAAATTGTGCAAAGGCTGAAATATGAGTTAAGCATGGAGTGATGCATGTTGGGAATTATGCTCAGAGACAGAAAGAGGAAAACACGTGGATCAGGAAACAAAACAAGAAATGAGAGACATCCTATTGACGATTAAGGAAAGGGGGTTTGGGCAGGACACATCGCCAAAAGGAACGTTGGCCGGTGGTGATGGAATGGCACCCAAAGGAGAGAAGGTAGCCACGATGATGACCACCGCAAACGTGGAGCAATGATATCAACACATGTTGAAGAAGGACATGTAAATTGTAGCATAACAGGGCTGCAAGGGATGACATCGATGCGAGGAAACCTTTAACGAGCAGTGAATAGGGCATGGCTGATGATGAAGAATGCATTATGATGGACGATGGTGTGTAAGATCTAACTCGACACAACAATTTTGCTGAATCTTGCACGGTGGATTTAGAAATGACCTTTAGTATTGGACACAAGAGATCACGTACACAGGGCAAGGTCATCCGTGATATTACAGCGCTGAAATGTTTAAATGGCTCAGAATATGCTTGTTACCTCGGGATGGTCATCCCAAGTAAAACAAGCAGTGCGTGATGAATTCACCTCGTAATATATTAAAATACCATGTTACCCTCTACGTGTGAACATGTCAGACGCAGCGCGCCATTTACTGTACAGCTCACTGCTCTTTTTTATTTCCTATCCAAAAACGATTATCCAAAGGAGGTGGAGTGGTGGTGCAGAGGTTAGTGTACTGCACTTTGAACCCGGCTACCAGAGTTCAACTCCCAGCCACAGCAACCTTGGTGAGTTTAATCCGAATCGGTGCGAAACCCAGTGGTGCAGCTGTCTGGTGTGCAGGCGGTGCAACTGCACCGAGAGCCAACGGGATGGACGGGGCCAGCTTCTGGGCCACAAAGAGGGTACAAATTGAGCAGCCGACCCCATTTCATTATTTGCACCAGGGACCATGCCAACCACGCTACAACAACCACAATTCGTCACTAAGTGGTGACGTCACCACAGCGCTTGTGCCAGGCTATGTGCACTTCAAGGCCACGTGAAGTGTCGAACGCCCGCTGGCAGGTCACGGGACAGACCCAAGTGCCATGGGTTGACCGACTGCGATGACTGGCAGATGCACCACCTGTGCCCCCTGCTGAGCCAGCTTGCTGTTTTATCAGCCCGGCACTCCGCTTGTTGTGATCGTCGCTCCTCTGCCCACCGTTGTTGCTGGAGGGCGACTGCCTCCAACTGCCCAGTAGCAGCAGCGTCCTTCACGAGCCTCCTCCATAGAACCCGATCTTGACATCACTGGTCCCAGTCATTGGCAAGTCTACCCAACTCCATCTTTTCTCTGGCTGGACCCACTTGGTCACCAAGCCGTCCTGATCAGCGTGGTGAAGTATGCCCAAGAAGTTCATTTAAAGTGACTGCATTTTTTTTATCAAAAAGGGTTTTCGCCATTTGAGCAATGGGCAGGATATTGGCATCAGCGGCGTCGACTAAGAGCAGTTCATTTTTTAAACAAATAACACTCGTATTCTTAGTTTTTTCGGTAAAGTCTCTTCAACGTGACTTTACCGAAAAAACTAAGAATATGAATTACTGCAGTCACGAAAGCTTTAAATCAAAAAATAACACTCGGTTAAACAAGCTCATAATGTCCACATTGGAGGGAACATCGTTTCTAAAATATGGCACTTCATATGAACCACAATGTGGGCTTGCTGCAAAGATGCCAAGTATGGAATGTCAAGAGGAGATTCAAAACATAAAACAGTACTTCAAAGTTTTTTTCCATTAATTTTTATTCCAATTGTAACTACAGGAAGGTCGTTTCTAAAATATGGCACTTCATATGAACCACAATGTAAGCTTGCTGCAAAGATGCCAAGTATGGAATGTCAAGAGGAGATGGGAAACATAAAACAGTTGTTCAAAGTTGTTTCCATGAATTTCTATTTCAATTGTAACTTCAGTATATGTAATAATATAAGTTAATATTATAAACTAGGGGTTGTTCGGGGGCACCACAACTATGTACGGCCTTCGGCCAGGAAAGTCACAAAAAACTTGCGCACGAACGACGCATTCACGCAAGCACCCAATGCTCCGTTTTGAAGTTTTAAAATGAAACATCTTTGAATTGTATTATGTTTTGAATGAGATAGTTGTATTTCTTCATTAAAAGCTTATATCATTTTACATCTGGAAGACATCATGAAAAACGACACTTCGTGTGAAATTTCTCTCGTCGTTAAGTAGATGGCCTTACTGGTGGGTTCGGTTCGATGCGGACTTTCACCTGCTTTGGATTGCGGGATCGAGATAAGGCGACAGAGAGCTGCTGGCCGTGCGAGAAGACCACTCTCTACAGATTGATTCCAACGTGATCGAACGTCTGTCCCTGCGCCTCCGTCGTTCATGCAGGGGGCGCGTGTAGGTTTGCAGCGCCCCCTGCATGAAAACAACGGAAAGTGCAGCGTTCATCACAAATAAAGTTGTGCGCTTATATCAGAGTATAATAATATTTCTCACGTTATATTTTAGTGGAAATATGGTAATCAAAACACATTCCTGCGGAGGGAGCTGGTAGGAACGTTGGGTTGCTCAGTCAATGGCCAGGGTCAACGGCGGCACCACGTGGTGTATACCGCAAATATGCCCGACTGTGAGGGCGGGCACAAGCCGGCGTGAGTAGGTTAAACGTTGAGTTTTATAAGGGCACCACGGGGTGACCAGCCCCTCCCCACCCAGCCCCACCCCTCCCACCCCCCACCCAGCCCCACCCTCCCCACCCAGCCCCTCCCCACCATCCCCTCCCAGCCCCTCCCCACCCTTCCCTCCCCACCCAGCCCGTCCCCAACCTCTCCACCCAGCCCCACCCCTCCCATTTTTGGATGCACGACGGACGGATACAATAATCCCCTGTGGGCTGGTGGTGTAACCAGAGGTTCCTACCAGTATAACACTGCAATTATAAAAATCTGACACGAGATGGCAGAAGAGTGCAGTAAGGCCATGCAGTAGACAAGAAGAGTTAATGTATCATGGGACCTCCTTTGCCAGTTCCAAAATACGAGAATAGATTTTCCCCTTTTTACTGGCAACAAAACAGGTGTGAAGATGTTAAAACACCAAACTGTAACCTTTTACAAGGAATCATGTCTGCATTAACCACAATTAAGGAGGTCCCATGATGTAGCTGCTCGGCCCGAGCTCTCATTACTGATAGTGGCATTGTCTTTGAGCTGTTCGCCTTTTGGCGTCCTCTGGTCTAACACCGTTTGAGACGAGGCTCTAAAGAAAACTGTCTCTGGTGTGGACCAATCAGTTTCAAAGAAAATGCATATTATCAGAGTTGTTTTTCGTTTGCATTCTGACCACAAGTATTGTGGTTATGGCAGACATGATTCCTTGTGAAACGTTTCAATTTGGTGGTTTAATATCTTAACACCTGTTTTGTTGCCAGAAAAAAGGGGAAAACCTATTCTCAAGAGTTAATGTTCCCATTAATTTCAATTAGGGCTCATAATACATCAATCGCACGTGTAAATATAAATAGGTTTTTATGTATGCGCATTAAAAAGTGATGTTATATTTAGTCCAATTGTACGAACTGCATAAACCAGATGGATTTTTTTGGTATAAATATGATAAAACGGAAGACATGTTTAACGATATGGAGGGGGGGGGGTATTTAAATCTCTATGATGCAGCCACTCTCCTGGTAATGATGAACTGTTCAGATTGCCCAACACGCACCGGCCAAGGTTCCTCACCACTTCCGCAGACGCCAGGCTGATCCATTGCAGTCTTCCTCGAACAACTTACACCACCCTTTTTCGTCCCACGCGTTCAGCCGAGGGTGCATTGAGACTATTTTGAGTGACCCAACTAACTACTTTAAATGCCTCGATGAACGGAAAGCAGTTGAGAATGTAATTCCGCAGAGACCTGTGAAGTTGGCTAAACATTTACTTATTTCTAATCACTGCGATTGTGTTCGCAATAACAATTTAGTTTCTAAAAGCATTAATTACCCATGAGTAATGAGGTTAAATGTTTCCTTTGTGGCCAAGTGGCAGGATTCCATGAACATGACATTCGTGCCGATTGTTAGAAGAAAATGGGCTCGCACTTTGAAAAGAAGTGGCTTTATCGTTGCAGGGATAAGTGATGCTTCTAAATAGCTTACCGTGCGGCTTATCTCAACTCACCCTCAGCTTTTATCCAATGGTTATCGATATCAGCAGTGATACAGCACAGACATCAGAGAGACGACTCGTGCCTTATCCGTCGCGAATGTTACAGCAGGCATAAATGGGCAATGGGTTAAGTGGGAGCACCTCTGCAACTTGCCTATATAAAAAAGACCAACAGGGTTTGGAATGTGGACGGGATCCAACACACGTGCCATGCTCACCGGTCCTGATAACAGCCAGAGCGCGCTACCGAATAAGTCACTTTCCATCGCCGTCTTGTGGACAAGGCAGGCGACTGGCGACCCTGCCGTCATGACGGAATGGGCAGTGTTCAAGCGCCTCCTGGACGCCGTCTACCAGCATTCAACTCTTCTGGGGCAAGTGTGGCTCACGGTCACGCTAATATTTCGGCTCCTGATCGTGGCGGTGGCGAGTGAAAGCGTGTACGAAGACGAGCAGGCACAGTTCGCCTGCAACACTCTGCAGCCAGGCTGCCCGACCGTTTGCTACGACCGCTTTGCACCCATCTCGCATCCACGCTTCTGGATTTTCCAGATAATCATCGTGTCTTCCCCTTCGCTCTGCTTCCTTATCTACGTGTGGCATATGCTGTCCAAAGGTGGAACTGTCGGAGATGGACGCAAAGGGATCTGTCCCATCTCAGAAGACGCCAGCAACAAGGATCAAGCTGACATATCAAAATACAAGCCATACACGGGTGGACCGTACAAGAGTGATGAACAGCTACTCTTTCTCTACAACGAACAGGACACCTTTCGTGACCTAAATGCTGAACCCTGCACAACGAAATGGGGCAAGATGGGACAACCGCGGAATCGAATATGGAACTGCTATGTCCTGCACGTGTGCTGCAGAACTATTCTGGAAGTTGCATTTGTGTTGGGTCAGTGGTTGCTCTTTGGTTTTAGGGTCCCCATTCACTACAAGTGCCAAGTTTTCCCTTGTCCGCTTATCGTCGACTGCTTTGTTTCCAGGCCAACTGAAAAAAAGATCTTCTTGCTGTTCATGTTTTCTGTCGGTGTTTTCTGCATTTGTCTCAACATCGTCGAGTTGAACCACTTGGGATGGAAGAAAATCAAGAGCCTTATCACAAAGCGAAATAATTTGCATGTGCAAATTGAAGAAACAACTAATCCCATAAGTGTAGCTGAAGATTCATGTTGCCAAGTCTCCACTCATCATAATCTACAAGACAATAAATCTCATCTACAAACGAAGTCTTCATCTTCTTCCAGCACTTCAGCAGCTTACGATGTGCATGCTCAAGAACATCTCCGCCCACACTTCAACTTCGCTCAAAAAATAACTTTGGACAAACGATTCCAAGAACAGACACTGTACCGTATGGGTGAGGAAAGTGGAGAGATTTCACCGAAAAAGGTATCACGGAAAAACATTGACTTGTGGGTATAACTTGCAACATCTTAATGACAAAAAAACACATTTGAATGTGAATCTCATTTCTGTATTCATACTGTGTATTATGTGATCAATGTAAGTGTATAAAAACTCTCTCCGATTGATTGAGCTTCGACTTTATTGTAACAGCCAAGCAAATCAGGTATAGGATGACAAATCACAGAGGCTTCTTTATTTTGTATTAACAAAGAATGTAAATACTAAGAAGTGAATACAATATGCTGAGGTTTGAGAGCCAAAATCATTCAAATGAACACATTGAACATACATTTAGCGCATCATGTAAAAGTTGTTGTACAGGAAAAGCAAGTGTTTTTTGAACATGTATATAACTTTGGTGGGCAGTAGCAGTAAGAATGTATTACAAGTAAATTTCATCAACAATGCATGAAAACAAATGTAACCCATAGCATGCATTTTAAGAATGAAAACCTTTACATTTTCAGGAATGGTCCATGCCTAGTTTGAAAAATCTAAAAGCTGTGTAATGAATGGTGTTAATCTTTTATGGATATAACACTAGGTTCAACAGCGAATGCATTACTGAACAAAAGATGCATTTTGGACAATGTATAACACGCTATCTTTTTAGTCCAGACATAAAGCAGCATCAATTTCAGTGAAAGAAAAAAAAACAAACCTGATATGTATATTCATGGCAATTTTTATATTTTGACACTATGTTCCAGTTTTTTTGTTGAATGGTAATATCCACAATTGACAGATACATAATGCTGCAATAATAAATAATAAACACCACGTAAGGATGTTTAAAAAATAATGGGACTGTATGTACATCACTGGGTAGACTTATAAAGAAAAAACGATGGTATAAAATGCGGCTTGAAAAAAAAGCAATGAAAACGGGGTAAAACTGTTTCGTGCCACAATGCATTCTTACTTCTACTACAACCATTGATCGCGCATAAACCATGTGTCACAATTTTAAATCTATTTCGCATATTCCAAACCAAGTGTAATATTTTGTTCCTGGAGTGCTCCAATGTGCATTTGTATGTCAATGTGAACAATGAAGAGAAAAACACCACGATCAAAATAGCACTCACTACTTCCCATACGAATTGAAAGACCTCATCCAGGGAAATACTTTACAAAACAAAAAAACGTAATAATGATCAACGTGTATACACGTAACATATTTGAAAGTTAAACAAAAACAACGATATTTATATTTTTCACTACAGACACAAAAGAAAATACTGTAATATGAAGATGTATTTTTTTTTTATCTTTCCTGCATTACACATACGTCCCTTTCAGAGTCTGGATATCCAGAAGCAAGCATTTTAATCTGGGTCATAAAGACCTCTGCATGCACAACACTCATATTCAAACTAAAAAAAAAGTGTAAGTATAATGAGAAACATGTTTTTTTAAAAAAGTGGAATGTTTTCGTTGTTCCGAAATGGACATTAACATACCTACTTTATGTTGATATGCAGATTAGCGTTTCTAGACATCACCAACTTTTTAGCACATGGAGCCGTGTGAAAGTTGGTTCACAGAGCGGTGCAGAAAATTTGCATTGGCATTTTACAGTGAATCAATGAATACTTTGTAATTTGTAAATTTTACATAGTGTTTTAATTATGCTTCGCACAGCAACATATGAATAGCGTTTAAGCAATGAGCATGCTGCACATATATCCTCTGAACAATAATAATATGCTATTTGTGACATTACAGTATGGAGTAATTATTCTGTTTTAAGCTTGAGACGTGCTTAGCATAAAAAGATAGCTAATTTTACTTCTTAAAGGGTTATGCAATTTGTCCAAAAGACAAAAATGCAGAGCAATAAACATACTATCCAACACATTTCAAAATGGAAGCACAGCATATATTCTTGCAAACCTATCCTTAAAAGTTGCAAATGTCATCGTGTGCGGATCACAAACGATTCATTGCGGCCAATGTCACATTATAATGTGCTAGCCATATTGCATGTAGGTCAATACACCGGAGATAAAGGGGACCACAACGACAATAATACATTTGAGGGGAGCTTAACGATAACGAGGCGGCGAAGGGGGACTTGTTGATTTTTTTTTTAGTGTGGAAGTGGTACGATCACGTCCACGTAGTTGACTGGGAAGAATCCCGAATGGCCACGCACGGTCCCCTCGTACCAATTGTCATCGATCTGCTTGGTGAGTGTGATGATGTCTCCCTCCTGGAAGCCCAGTTCGCCCTCATTCTCCGGATCAAAGTCGTAAAGAGCTTTTGCGCTTGGAGCTAGACGCCATGTGGACAGAAGCATCAGGAGAACACGCATGGCACGACAAATTAGAACGTGTACACCAGCAACAATGTCAACCACCTACTTCCTGTAACTGCCTCTTGAGATTCTGGAGAGAGAACAAGCATTTTGTGATATATCGGTAGGAAAAGATAAATGTATTATTACTCGGCTGTCAAATGTGTAATACTTAACATAAAGGGTATTTAGAAAATCCCACAACCTGAAAACATGCAAAATATATAAAGTGTAAAGATGTTAACATATTGACAGCTTTCCCATCAGTTGACAAAGAGGTTAAATGTCCCAAAGTTAGAAATGCGTGCACACACATGTGCTGTACAAACCATATTTTAAAAGAATGTACAGCAACGTCTTGCTACTGCATTCGTTTTATGAGAATATTGTACCAAGTGGTATCACCAAATTGCAGATGCAGTCTTAAAAGATAATTAGGGTAATACCCAAAAACAAATGTAATTTATCTTACTGTTTTGTGCATATCAATACTGTGTTAAACCTAAATAAAGTTAGATGTTTAACACTTGCTTATCTATATATAAAATGGAAATTTGTGAATGTGTGTCTGTTCGAAATGTAGCTTCCAGACTGTACACAATGCAAAAAGTATAAAAATAGACTTTTGTATTTTGGGGGCGGGGGGGGGGGCAATAATGGATATAATTTGCGCGGTGAGCTGTGACGTCACATCTGTGATGTCACCTGCATGCGGCAGCGCCACGCAGTGTGCCTGTTGACGTCACGCAGTGTGGCTGCTGACGTCACGCAGTGTGCCTGCTGATGTCACGCAGTGTGCCTGCTGACGTCACGCATCCCCCCCCAACCCTCCGCGTAGGCCGTGTATTAATCCAAGACAAGAATCCAAGTCCCGGGTTGAAGCCGGGTAGTAAAGCTAGTTCTTTAATAAAGTGTCAATTACAGATTTTTTTTGGTAACCTGAAGGTGTGGCATTAACGATTCCTCAACTCAGTGGTTCTCTCAACCTGTGTCACTGTACGACCTTTACGAGTTCATGAGCAAACACTAAAGTGATATTAATAAGCACCCACTGTATGCCACGGTTTACAAATCGGTCATATGAATCATACACTGCATTCCTTTGCAGTGTACATACCCAAACACACAATGTCACCAACGTATTCTCTTAATTTGAAGAGGCAATATGCATATATGCTATATATAGATTGTACATTTTACAGTTGGGGGGGATCCAGAAAATAGATTCACAAAGCATTTTGGGATGCAATGGATAACTTATTAAAACCACTGCGAGGAAAAAAATATTATTTATAAATCGTATGAAATAAAAACTATAAACTTTTTATTTTACCAGGTAAGGCCCACTTAGCTATTAAGCTCTTTTTTTAGAAGCAGCCTGTCCATAAATGATATCTGAACGAATTGGCTCATCACATGGAATTGTATAGCGGCCAAATACTCTATAAAGACACGTTTCTAAATGTGTACGGAAAAACAAGAAGACCCAGAGAAAAATCCATGCGACCACAGGGAGAACATGCAAGCGCCAAATACACAGCAGGCGTCAGGATCAGAATCTAACTCACGACCTCCTGCATACCAGGCGAGGCAGTTAACATGTCACCACCGAAGTGCCCCTAAAAAAATTATCTATCCAAAGACTGCTACTGCAATTTAGACCACGGTTAGGGTGCAAGTTCTAGAAACATTCGCATCATGTAATACCCCCATACATTTTTGGAGTTTACAACAGTAAATATTAAGGTAATGTTACAATTTATGAAAATTATAACGTGAAGAAAATCTATTGCAAAGTTAAACAACTACTCCAAAAATGAGGATTATTTCCATGACGATGCTCCTCCACGCTCTTGGTGACACTTCCCACAGCCAGTTAAAAATACACAAGAAGAAACGCTGTAAAACCTGCATGCATTCAGCACAGATTTTTTTTTTAATATACATTCAAATATTAACTAGGGGGCGTAGGGGAGGTTTATTTTTTATCCAATCGCCAAAAAAATATATTCTTCAAATGGTTGGCTTGTTGTATAAAGTATATACACAGTACTTACCTTTTAGTTGAAATGCAACTATGTTTACAAAGCCTGTAGTAATAAGCTGGTATTTTGGTGATGGGATAAAAAATCTGTGCAGAATGCTTTGGTATGCATATCTTACAGAAAGAGGCCAAAGTGTGTGTGTGTGTGCATGAGCACAGGATGAATATTCCTTCAATTGACTCATTAAAAGAAGGTTTGGGTTTACTTTCCCAGAAAAATATTCTGATTCCCGACTCACTCTGAGCCTTTTTACTAAATGACCGGCTCGGCAATGCAGGGGCTTTTGAAGCAAGCGGAGCTGCACAACATGGAAATGAAGATCATGGTGAGTACACGGTTTCAAAACATTGAATATCATAACCTCCCATAATAAGCCAAACACAATTAGCAAAATGTTAATAACACCCTTGAAAACATTTTATTTCAAAACCATTTATTTTCATAATGAATAGTGGTATGCATGTATTCGTATGGTTGAAATTAACCAACTAAATATCCATTTATAACCACTGTCAGTGACAGTGTAACAGTACCTGAAGACCTAGAAGACGCAGATGCAGACGCAGACCCAGACATTGCCGGGTAAATGTTCTCCCCTCCGCCGTTGCCCCAGCTGTTCTCGTGGAACGTCGACATCGGTTTTGCTTTAAATTCTTTCTTTGGCATCTTTGATGCCTCATTTTTCCTGTGAAAAATACACACACACAAATGTTCTAATACTGGCAAAAGACATTGTCGCAAAATGACAAAAAAAACAGTTTTTTCCAATGTGGTGAATTTTAAACATGAAGGTAAAACCTTAAGATGTTTTCCTGCGGAGGGAATTCGACAAAGTGTGTTTGACTCTTAAAATGTAAAAATTATTAAGTTGTGAAGGACTGTGGCGCCGTGCAGTCTCACCTCTCTTGGAGAGCCGCTTGCAAATCCTGCAGCACAGCAGCAGATCTTTGATGATATTCCAGCTGTGCATCAACCAGAGCTGCTAGTTGAGATACCTGCTCAATCTGAAAAGAACAGGGGGGAATACATATGCTTGTTCTCTTGCTTTGCAATTTGAGGAATATATTTCCATAAAATATTCAGTAATTCATTCTAATGTTGATGTCTTCCCTTTCCCATCCGTAACAATCTCTACACACTGATTACTTAAACTAATATACATCTTACATTGCATAATGTGCTTACGTAAACAAAATAAAAATTACTACTGTAATGACCTCATTAAAATCAAATTCCTGCACTAGAGACAATACTGTATCATTAAAAGTAAATGCCATACATGATATTGATTAACATATGCCAACGTCATGCCTGCTTCCCATCCAACCACCCTCCACCCCGGCCATGTATCCCACACAAATGCATGGGCAGTGTAACTTTGATATAAAGTTTACATACAATGTGTGGAATTTAGGATATCACCTGATAGAGCTTCCAGTAGATCATCTTTTTAGTAAACATCAACAACATTTGCAATTTAAGTTTCTCAGTCAAATATATGTTTATCTTTAATAAGCCCCGCATCCAAAAACATCAATTAGCTGTTCCATTGGCAGTTGTTTCGTTCGTAAAGAACCGTACATTAAAAGGGTTACTTTTAAGCAAGTTGAATTGTTTACTCTTAGTCCTAGATAACAAAAATCCTTAATGGTTGCACAGCTGCGAATGGAACAGTCAATGCTGGGGGGAGTTGGGCAGGGTATATTTTATGACCTATATACACTGTAATGTATCTAACCCAGATTGATAAGACTTTGACAAAAGTTCTAGAGGGATGAACTCCAAAACGTCTCACTAGAAATAATTTTCAGCTGCAGTGTCGCTTCTCCTTATCATTGTGGCCAGGTCGCTTTTGAAAAAGCGAATGAACTCAGTGGGCCTCACCTGGTAAAATAGAAAGGGTAGTAGTAATTGTTCCCTACTGCATACTTTTAATTTCACCGTAAAAAAAAGGACTGGTTTTACTTTCTTGCAAAATCACAATGCAGTAAAATAATAAGCAATTTCTCCGCAAATAACTTCACTGCACTATTTTGTGCTGACAAAGACA